AGCACGACGACGTGCCTGATAAGTCTGTTGTATGGGTTGCCAATAGAGAAACTCCACTCAACAATACATCAGGTGTTATGCTGAAAATCGTTGATCCAGGACGACTTGCTCTTGTTACTTCTGCTAATATGAGCATATGGTCTACTAATTCGTCAAGGATTTTGTCTGTGAAGAATCCAATTGCGCAGTTGTTGAATTCAGGGAATCTAATAATAAGAGATGCAAATGAAACTAAAACAGAGAACTTCCTGTGGCAGAGTTTTGATTATCCGACTAATACGCTCTTACCAGGCATGCAACTTGGTAAGAACTTTGTGACTGGACAAGAATTTTACCTGTCCTCATGGAAGAACGAATATGATCCGGCTCCAGGGAAATATACGTATCATTGTGATCCTACTGGATATCCTCAGGTTGTCATGAGGAAAGGTAAAGTTAAGGTGTTCAGTGGCGGACCATGGAATGGACTCCGCTGGAGTGGTGTACTAGGATTGACAAAAAATACAATTTATACATTTAAGCTGGATTTTGATGAAAAGAAAGCAATTTACAGCTACGCGCTAGTGGATAATTCTGTTTTATCGAAATTAACCTTGAACAGTCATGGTATGCTTAAGCGTTGGACGTGGGATGAGAAGATAAAGGAATGGCATGTTTACCTGGCTTCACCAGCAGATGCCTGTGAAAATTATGGAGCATGTGGTGCCTATGGTAGTTGCAACATCATATTTTCTCCTGTTTGTCGTTGCTTAGACAAGTTTGTGCCTAAAGATCCGAAAAATTGGTCAGTGACAAAGTGGTCCGGCGGGTGTATTAGAAGGACACCCCTTAATTGCCAGAATGGAGATGGATTTCTCAAGTACTCTGATATAAAGCTACCAGATACACAGTATTCACGGTTTTATGTGAGAATGACACTCCGAGAGTGCGAGAAAGTTTGCCTAAAGAATTGTTCTTGTATGGCTTACTCAAATCTTGATATACGCAATGGTGGCAGTGGCTGTTTGCTTTGGTATGGCGACTTAATTGACATTCGAGAATTACCTGGAGGACAGGACATTTACATAAGGATAGCTAACTCAGAGTTAGGTAAAATTTATGCAACAAATTACTATTTGATCAATATGAAGCATTAGCTGAATGAAGTAAACTTCACAAATCTTAGCTTTAGTTGTGTTTTGCTTATCTATTTGTTAAAAAGTTCACATAGCATATATTTATTTTATTTTACCCTCCATTTTTTTTCAGGCTCGAAGAAGAAAATGAAAGCACTTGTGCTGAGTCTATCATTGTTGAGCGGAGTGTCTGTCATTGGCCTGATCATAGGGCTGTATATTTTGATAAAGGCGAGAAAGAAGAAGAGGAAGATGATTCTGAAAGATGATCTAGAACTTCCACTGTTTTCCTTATCAACAGTAACTAAAGCGACCTCTAATTTCTCAGACAAGAACATGCTTGGAGAAGGTGGATTTGGATCTGTTTACAAGGTAGCATATCTTGTAGGTTTATTATATGTACTATAATTGACAGTAAACAGATAAGTAACACTTTGAATTATCCCTGTCAAAACATCCTTAGCTTCAATATGAGTCAGCTGTATGTTATGATATCGTAGGGAATCCTGGAGGAAGGACAAGAAGTAGCTATAAAGAGGCTCTCAAAATCTTCCTCGCAAGGAGTCAATGAGTTCAAGAATGAAGTTAATTGCATTGCCAAACTCCAGCATCGAAACCTTGTGAAGCTTATAGGTTGCTGCGTAGAAGGAGAAGAGAAAATTCTGGTCTATGAATACATGCCCAATAGAAGTCTTGATTTCTTCATATTTGGTATGCTTACTCTTGCTTAACACATAAAACTTCAAGTACTGTTCATAGTATAGCATTGAGCTTGCAGCTTTCACCATGATTTTGAAAAAGGTTGTTAATTTCAAATGGAAGTAGATTCTGTTTAACATACTAAAAGCAGTTAGAGCATCAGTTACTATACTAATTGTTGGAAGATCTGTTAACAGATGAAGAGAAGAGCTCGATACTTGATTGGCCTAAGCGCTTCAACATCATCAATGGAATTGCTAGAGGACTTTTGTATCTCCATCAAGATTCTCGGCTAAGAATTATCCATAGAGACCTCAAAGCTAGTAACATTTTGCTAGACGCTGATATGAACCCCAAGATCTCGGATTTTGGCATAGCTAGAAGTGTGATAGGGAATGAGACGGGTGCTAATACACATCATGTGGTTGGGACACAGTAAGTGATTTCACACTACGACCTTTTAGCATTTATCTCATGTACTACTCATATAATATCATCTGTCTAACACTATTTTCTGTCTAATATGTGATGCAGTGGCTACATGTCCCCAGAATATCTAATACACGGTGTTTTCTCAATAAAATCAGATGTATTTAGCTTTGGCGTGTTAGTTCTAGAGATAATCAGTGGTCGAAGAAACAGAGGATTTTTCCATGAAAGTCACAGTATCAACCTTCTCGGACATGTAAGTCTTGTATGTTAAAAAGTACTTACATATTCAGACCACTCGTAATGTAATTACAAGTGATAAGAGTAACTACACTGATAGTGCAAAAAGTCTTACCAAGTGTCGGTGTATATAACTTAAATCTATTAAACACGCTTCACTTACTTATACATGTTCCTTATTACTATATACTGATTGTGTTATTAACAGGTATGGAAACTTTATAAAGAAGGTAGACCATTGGAGCTGATTGATGTGCATATTACAGATTCATGTTATTTTACTGAATTGCTACGGTTAATTCATGTCGCTCTATTATGCGTACAACATAGTCCAGAAGACAGGCCAGACATGTCTGAAGTGGTTGTGATGTTGGCTAATGATACCATTTTGCCTGAAGCTAAGGAGCCTGGTTTTTACACAGAAAGCAAATTCCCTGATTCTGAATATTCTACAAGCATGTATTCGAAAAATGAAATCACTATTACACAGTTAGATCCCCGGTAAATTAAATTTCATTTTCTTGTAGATCTTTAAGTGTCTAGAAGCTTGAATAACAGAGGAGAACATTTTATGAGTTGTATCATATTAGGAAAGAATTTATCTAACTCTTGAATTAAAAAAAGACAGTCCGGTGCACTAAGCTCCCAACATTCATGGATTCGGGTCAGAATTGCACACGGGTCTATTGTACGACAGTTTTACAGGAACTTGAGTATTAGTTACAAATTGCCATTGTTGTGTATGTTACATGGTTTTGTTATACTTACAGATACGTATCCACTTTGGATGTGTGTAAGAATCTAATATGAATACTACAATTTTTTATGAAATTTTAATTTACTCTCCAAAGTTCAATAATTTTATTTTTTTTGAACATGAGTACATATAATTAGAGATATATCATCACGTCTTGAGAATTTACAAGAACACTATTAGCTTATTTAAACGTTTGGTAAATACCAAAGTGCTTATAAGCCACTACTCAAGGGCAAGCCAAAGTTTGTACCTTTTAGTGTCAAATTGATGAAGTACTCCACCATGCAATATTCAAGACCTCATTTGCTATTAGAAACAGGTAATGCAATTTTCAATTTACTTATAATTGTTCCACAATGACATTCTGTTGAGCCGCTGGTAAGGACTAAGGAGTGTTAGGGTTTTGCCCTGATTTTCTTTCCTTATTTGAAGTTTATTTATTTCCTTAAAAAAAAGTCAAAGTATTACCATAAATGCTTGAACTTTTTCTGAAAGGAAATATAATTTTCTTCCATATTTGGTTTATTCTTTCCTTAGAGGAAATGTCCGGAGATCTATAAAGTTAAGATCTATTCTCATAGCATAACACAATAGAATTCACAATGTAGTTGTTTAGAGAGTCTTGTTTATGGGGGAGATTTTCTCTCTACAGTTTTTATGCTTTTTATTAGTTTTTAACTATGTAGACCAATGGTCATATAAAATAATAATATTATATCCTTTAGTATAGTTTTATGTATCGTCTAATTTATTAACCATATTATTTGTAATTGTAAGTTTCCGCATGACGCTCTAATCACCCTTCATAACCCAACAAGGAGATGTTAGAGGTTGGCAATAGAGGGCTTGAGGAGAGGTAAAGGTAGGCTGAAAAAGTATTATGAGGATATAAACCTTGATAGGAGAGCAAGAAGGTCAAATATTAGAATAGAAGATTAGTAAATAGTATTGTTTTGCTTTTCCATTCCCGGATTAGTAGTTTTAGAGTTTGTTTGACATTATTATTGGGAGACCAAAAATAGTAATTTCAAAGAGAAAAAATATAACACTTGTTTTGAAAAATTAAGGGTTTGACAAATTAATAAAACTGTTTTTTTTTTTTTGTTTATATATTATTATTATTATATTATTTTGTGATTAGAAAAAAAAGGTAATATTAATTGAAAACTTGATAGCAATACAACATATGCTCTGAAAGTTGTATTTCCCCGTTTCACGTTGGTATGACTCTCTTAGGAGTCCGTCTTCCTCAAGGAAACAAACAGCTGTAAGTTAGGGCTCGAAGTCTCAAGTATATAAGCGGCAAAAGGAGATCTTCAGCCGCATAGTTAACGGCAAAAGCAACAAGGAGCAGATTCAAGTTGGTGTCAAGGTTAGCATTATAAATTGCAGTAGTTACATAGCGAGTTTAACTTTTTGGAGAATTGTTAGATCACGATACTTTAAGAGTCCTTAGATTGCTAAGTTGTAATCTGAATCCTACTTGTTTTAATTTTGTGTCTTATTGATTCTGTTTTGCTGTTTGCTGTGTTAATAGGTGTAGTCGGTTGAATTAGTTTTTTTAATTGGTATAAGAGCGGGTATCTATGGCTGCCCCACCCATATTTCAGGAAGGAGCTTCGCTAACTCGGCCCCCTTCTTCAATGGAAAGTACTACGGATGGTGGAAGAATAGGATGATGGACTTTATAATCGCAGAGAATTATGATTTGTGGAATGTTGTGATGGATGGTCCAATCATCCCCACTAAGCTTGGAGCTGATGGGTACAGTTCTTCCTAAAGGAAGACTTGAACTAACTCCAGAAAACAAAATTGCGCTACAGAATAATGCCAAGGCTAAAAACATTTTGATTTGTGGCCTTGGTCCTGATGAATACAATAGGATCTCGTCTTGCTCTACTGCTAAAGAAATTTGGGACACTCTACAAACTGCTCACGAGGGTATGAGTCAAATGAAAAAATGTAAGATAGACTATCTGAACAGAAAGTATGAACTATTTAGGATGAAAGATGGTGAAACTATTCGGGAGATGCATAACAGGTTTACATCTATTATCGACGAAATGGACTCACTTGGGGAGTAGCTACCAAGTGGCAAAGCTGTAAGGAAGTTTTTTAGTGTACTGCCTAATTCATGGGAAAGTAAAGTTGAAGCAATTACTAAAGCACGTGATCTTGACTCTGAGGAACTGACGACCAGAATGTTTCAGGAAATGTTGAGCAAGGGTCGTTAGTCGAGAACAACAGGTATGCCACAAGTGTGGAAGTCCTGAACAATTCTGGTTTAGTATTCAGAACTAGAATAGGTGTAGTGGGTTGAAGTAGTTTTCTCATTGTTGTTCCTGCTTGTTGCTATTTTCGTCTTTTTCATCTTTTTTGAGCTGAGGGCCTATCGAAAACAACCTCTCCAATATGGTCTTGATTATTTTCTATTTTTCCAGTGTCTGCTAAGATGAACAAGGGTGAATGCTAATGATGATTCTGTTTGCTTAGTTAGAAAATTGTACTTTTTCTGGTATTCCAGTTCACATATCTTTCTAAGATATAAATTAAAATTTAGTTGTATGTCTCTCGAATGCAAAAATAATTACTTTTAATTTAAAGAACATCGATGACAACTTTGTACCATTTTCTAGATATACTTTAACTAAAATGTGGAGTTGCAATGCGCAAATTCCACTACTAACAATAGAAACAAATAGAAGAAGTTTTCATCCATAAGTAAATAACATCTTACAACCAAAAAACAACAACAGTGGTAGTAAGAAATATATAGAAGAAGTTTTCATCCATAAGTAGATAACATCTTACAACCAAAACAACAACAACAACATACCCAGATATAGTAGATAACATCTTCAGGTAGAGAAATCCAAATTGCTGTTTAATATAGATGTTGTTATATTAGTCAAGAATCAAATTTCTATGCTATTTCTAAAATTACTATTCATGTGCACACAAGTCAAAATAGTTTTCTTGTTTACACTCTACCGAGGATCTAACAATGTGATTGTGACTTCATTTTTTGAACTTCTTGTCTGCGATCCTGATTTTTCTTTATCAAATATGTTTCGTTCTGTGAAAAATCCCGGTTCTTTTGCTTTTGGCAGTAGACTCTCATTAGCCAACATATGAACCACAGAAGACATGTTTGGTCTATCAGCTGGATTTTGTTGCACGCATAATAAACCCACATGGATTAACCTCAAAACTTGAGATATATGGAAAGAATTGTTTAGTTGCTCATCAATTAGTTCCAAGGACATATCTTCTTTGTAAAGCTTCCATGCCTGTTTGTGTTTAGATATTATGAATCATGACAAATTCTATTAATGTAAAGAAAAGAATGACCGAGAAGGTTATACAGTGCTTACATGACCGAGAAGGTTAAGGTTGTGATCTTGATGGACAAATCCTCTATTTCTCTTGCAACTCACAATCTCTAACAACAAGACACCAAAACTAAAAACATCTGATTTTACCGAGAAGATCCCATCTACTGCATATTCTGGGGACATGTACCCACTGTGCCAACAAAACAACACCAAAAGAATTAAAGAAGAAAAATGTCATATGAGAGTATATTGTATGATATTAGACATCCTTACTGTGTCCCAACCACATTGCGTGTTTTTGCTCCCATCTCATTTCCTGCAACACTTCTAGCCATGCCAAAGTCTGATATTTTAGGATTCATATCTGTATCTAGCAAAACATTGCTTGCTTTAAGGTCTCTATGGATAATTCGCAGTCGAGAATCTTGATGAAGATATAATAAGCCGCGAGCAATTCCATTTATGATGTTGAAACGCTCTGGCCAATCAAGTAATTTGCTCTTTGTTTTATCTACAAATTAAAATAAGCTTTCTTGTCAGCAGTTTCTTTAATGTTTTGACTAATAGATCAAAGTATTACTCATTTTAGCTTGTACAATAGGTTAGAAATCCAAACCAAATATGTATGAATCTAGGCTGTTGTTAGGCATGTATTCATAGATCAACATCTTTTCTTCCCCTTGGATGCAGCAACCCAGAAGTCTCACAAGATTTCTATGCTGAAGCTTGGCAATATAGATAACTTCGTTCTTGTATTCGTCAATTCCTTGCATGGAAGTCCTCGACAGTCTCTTCACGGCAATTTCTTGTCCCTCTTCCAGCACTCCCTAGAAATTGAAAATGTATAATAGCAGAACATAGATTTTGCAAAGACGAGAATATTACAGAATGAAAATTATCTGTAACATTCTTATCTTGAGCATAAACTAGTTACTTTACCAACAAATTTGCATTGTGTACCTTGTAAACAGGTCCAAATCCACCCTCTCCAATCTTGTTGTTGAGTGAAAAGTTATCTGTGGCTCTTGTTATGGTTGACAATTGGAACAGTGGCAGCTCAAAATCTTCTTTGTGTTGCAGTTTCTTCTTCTTTTTCCGTTTGTACAACAACAAAATCAGGCTAAGCAGAATCATTGCCATCAACAATGAGAAACTCAATGTGAGTATCTTTGCCTTCTTTCTTTTTGAACCTGCCTCAGATTCTACAATCAATTTCTTAAGTCAGCTACTGCAAATCGACATAGGCCACTAACTTTGCATAATACCATCTCTATGTGTTGAAAAACTAAGTGTAAGAAACACATCAAGGAAATTTCTTAAACAAGTTCTTACCTTGCTCTGAAGAATCCATCCTGATGTAAATGTCTTGTCCTCTTTCAGACAGCCTTCTGATGTCAATCAATTCCCCAAACCATAGTAAGCAGCCTTTGTCTCCGTTACTTATATCTAGACTTGAATAAGCTGTGCAAGAGCAGTTCCTGAAGCATACCTTCCTACAGTCTTCGAGTGTCATTGTTTTATCGTAATGAGAGTGCTTAGTATCCGGCAACTTGATTCCAGAATATTTTATGAACACATGTTCCTTGTTGCAGTCTAGAGGTGTCTTCCGTACACACCCTTCTAACCAATCTCCCCTTTCCCATTGTTGTGGATATTTAGCTACAAACTTTTCCAGACATCCACAAACCGGAGTATTATCTATGTCACAGCTCCCATAGGCACCACATAAGCTATGTGTATCACAATTATCCGCTGGTAAATTGTAGTAAATATGCCATCTCTTTGTCCGATCCACCCACGTCAAACGTTGTATATAACCGCTGCTAGTCAGGACTAGTCTTGTTATAGTCGAACTGTTAATGAGTGTATAGCTATAGTAAACCTCCTCCTCATTGAAACCAAATTGGAAATGGCAGCATTCTAGTAGAGGTATGGGTGACCCACTCCATCGTAAACCATTCCATGGTCCTATACGAGCCGATACACTTGGGCCACGTTTGGTGAGTAACTGTGGATATCCAGTAGGATTGATGGTACGAGTGAATTCACCTGGAGCTGGATCATTATCTTCCTTCCATGCTGAAAGGTAAACCTCATGTCCAGTTCTAAAATTCTTGCCTAGCTTCATACCAGGCAAGTGCGTATCCGTTGGAAAATTGAAACTCTCCCAGAGGAAATCTTCTGGATTGTCAACATTTGCATCTTTTACAACAAGATTACCAGAATCTAAAAGCACTGCAACTGGATTTTGGACTGATCTTGACGTGTTAGTGGACCATATAGTTTCATTCTTGTCGTTAAGAAGAGCAAGTATTCCCGGCTTGGTGACCTTCAAAACGACTGAAGATGTATTGGTGAGTGGTTTATCTCTGTTTGCAACCCATACAACTGTTTGTACATGAGAAAGAATTTGCTTGTACCATATCCCAATATATCGATTTGAGGAACCTCTGGAGCTGAAAAATCCCAGCTCAAAGGTTCCACCGTTTGAAACAATAGTTTCACCATCTATGATGGATTGATTTGTAGTGATTAAGTTTGTAGAAAAATTATTGTGTATAGAAGAGCAGAAAGCCAACAGAAAAAGTAGGAAGAAACAAGTTTCCATAGATATGCCTTGAGGTCTAAGCGTTTGATCAGCTATACATTTATGAAATTTGCATTTATTCCATATGATCCTTTGGGACATGGCACCATATTTATTCTGTTTGAATAGTCGTTAACAATGGCGGTTGTAGACGGGCAGTTGAAGTTTGTAAGGCTCTTAAACAAATTTTACATAAAAAATTGGAATTGATGAGAAACTCCGTTCCCATTTTGGAAAAAGAAGAGAAGAAAGACAATACAAGAAACTAGCTGGCGTCCATTATTGATGTTGCCAAAGTCTTTGGTCGCCTATTTATTGACTATGATTATTTTGTCTTTAGAGCCAAACTCACCTAATGTGATGTTGCAGTGTTGAAATTCCGTAGCACATTTTTGAATATTTATAGTCATTCATACTTCACAGGCTCTGAAAGAAAAAAAAAAAAAAAGATGTAAATTTTCCATTTTTTAAAAACAGCGTCTGGACAACGGTAACATTTAATTAAAAAAAAATGGACCATTTAGGAAGAAAACAAGATAGAAATTTCATGATTGTGATGTTAATATGATAAGTCGTTTTCTGCGTAATTAATTAGTATAAGAAGTCTATGTCCATTCCAAAAAGACCTGACTTTTGAGGAGAATACAAGCGACATACGGGCCCAAGTCTTAATAAAGTCGGAGATAATATCTTATATGGTGTTATTGAACAACGTAGGATTCAGGATAGTTCACTTTAGAAAACTAATCAACTTTATTTTATTACTCAAGATTTACACATTTTTTTATATTTCACCAAGATCACCCATCAATATATACTTCTATATCAAAAAAAATGACTTAATATAATTTGACACAAAATTTAAGCAAATAAAAAACTTTTTAATTTTGTAATTCTAAATTAAAATTACGTCAAATATATCAAAATGTATTTTGATCTTGTAGTCTTAAATATGTCATGTGTAAAACTAAAATTAAAATATTGTCAAAAAAGAAAAGAGTCATTCTTCTTTTTTTAAACAAACTAAAAAGGAAATGAGGTGATTCTTTTGTAAACGGAGGGAGTATGATCTTTTTTGTTAAATTTACTGAAATGAAAATTTTATATTTATTTTTGGATTAAAATAATTAATGGTACATTTTTGGACTATTAACTTAAGGGACATTTTTTTTTATAGCTTTTCCGTTTCTTTTTTATATTTTATATATAAATAAATATAATGTTTTTCACTGTTGCTCTTTTTTTCGTCACAGGGACGAAGCTTTAAGCCACAAATTAATGGCGCTTTACTTTGAGACTTTCAGGCTCCTGTACCGAAGTCTCCCTTTCCAGACTCCATCTCCGGCAGTCGCCTCTCCGTTGTAACGCTAGGGCTTCATATTTTGGTATACTTCTTTGCTGCTACTTTCATGATTTTGATATTTGGGGAAAATTGTTGGTGGAGTGATTCTGTTGTGAATCAAGTAGACTTTGTACGGGCTTATGTGTTAGAAGTGGTGAATGAGGCTTATTTAGATGGAATTATTGGGCCAAGTAAAATACTAGAGGGTTTTATTTGGTATCCAGACCCAATTATCAATAGTTAAATAGGAATAGGGATTAGACAGAAGAGTTACGCGCATTATGAAGAAACCGTCTGTTCCTCTCATCTTCTTTCTAAAGTCTTAACTTCTCATTCTCATTCTTATCTCTATCTCTAGTTACTTGATATTTCAGTACTTCTCCTTATAATTCAAGTGTTGTTATTATAATTTGCCTATCTTATTATATAATGTTTGGATATTTGTGTTGAAAATTCGAGTTTGTTTCATTGGTGCTTTCATCCAGAGGTTTCTCTAATGGAGGACCATAGAGTACTCAAGGCTTCTGTTGATGATTCAATTCGTGATTCAATACAAGAGATGAAGGATTCTATCCGTAAGGATCTCACTGAATTTTGTTCGATGTTGCTGGAGGTTTTGGGGGGAAAGGCTATGACCTCTTTTGAACCCCAAAATACAGTTACGAACCCCAAATTATGGCAGTTTAGAGGCAAGAATCCGGAGGCTTGGATAGTTCAAGCGGAACATTATTTTGATTTCTATAAAATTGAGGAAGATCAGAAGCTTAATGTGGCATCGTTCTACCTTGACGGTGAAGCATTGAAATGATACCAATGGCTATTTCGAAATAATCAATTAATTGATTGGCTGCATTTCGCTGATAAGGTGAGAATTCGATTTAAACAGAAAGAATACGAGTCCACAGAAGGGAGATTCACCAATCTCGGACAGTTACCATATGTGATTGAGTACCAAAATTGTTGTGAGGATAGATTCGGTGAGTCAGATGTACTGTTCCCAGGCTGCACATATGTCCATCCACGATGGAGCAACATAACTAACTCACTTTTATCGCAACATCACAGTGAACAATCGGGATGCAAAAGCAATACCAATGCGCGCAAGGTATTTGGTGAATCCTCTGATAGGCACAAAGATGCACATTCTCTCGGTACATCTAGCAAGCCTATTGAACTTTTCATTCCCCCTAATGATCTGGTAAGTTCTATCTCAAAGGTAAATAGTTGTGGTGATGATGTTAAAAATGAAGACAAGAATGATGAAGAAGAAATTGTTTCCATCATAAACAAACCTATAGAACTTGTGATTGCAAATGCAGATAAGCATTCATTCTAGATTAATTCTATAGTATCTACTCCCTGTAACCTTTCCATTTTTTATATTCGCAAAGCTTTGGATGATCGCTGGAATCAATTATTTGCTTACCCTTTCGGGCTTGCTCTACGTTGGGAGGTGATGCCTTCTATTTCTTCCACTTTCAATCATGCCATGCTTATGAGTAAAGTTACTAATGATGGTCGGGACTATGTTGGCTGCTATATTATTTTTTCCTTGGACATGTGTCCTGAACTTGTTGAATGTGATGGTTATGACCTTAAATGTTTGGTTTCTCGAAGCAATTTAGTTGGAAATGGTATAATTTTACATGTATGGGATCCTGGAATACATCGGCAGCTTGTGAAGTTAAACCATTTGAATAGTGGCATTTTGTTCCACACCCAAACTCAAGATATTCTTGTAAATGCAAAGCAACTTAAGAGACCAGTTTGCGCACTAACTGTGCATCAAGGAGAATCTTTCCTTGTTGGTGGTGGAATTGAGAAGAGAGTGGTGCGACGTTGGAATTCTCAGAAATTAGATCACCAACAAATATTTGAAATCGTAAGACAAAAGCATGAGCATGTTCTTGCAAGGTGGACTACAGAGCGATGTGGTATATATAAATGGGTTGAGGATTTGGACGATAACAATAAAATCAAATGCAGCATGTGTCATATAATTGTCCATCAAGATTTTCATGGACTGAGCAATATTCAGAACCTTGTTTCATGTTTCTATCCAGCATGTGCAAAGCTTGAATTTAAAAAAAGTTATTGCTTTTATCCACCCCATGTGGTATATTAATGGCAAGTGCTAATGCCTTTGTCTGGACATATATTACATTTGCATGGTCTCATCTTGAAGTTGCTTATCATAATGTGGATACAATATTGAACCACATTAACTAGTACATCAGTGTATTGACTAAAAACGAAATGGAAGCAACATTGTCATTGGAATTTCCTTCAGTCTGTATTGATGTATTTTCACCTCATACTGTAACATTTAGCAATGCAAATGTTGCTGAGAATGTCACGTTTGATATTGCCTTAGTCAGGTGGCTATTAATATATTCCCTCCAAAGGATTGTCCGGGAAGACAAAATACTTGTCAAAGCAACTCTTAACATATATCCAAGTCTTAACAAGTTCGCTGCTATGATATTCATATTGTTCTATCCGAACCTTGAGGACAAGGTTCTTATTCAGGATGGGGGTATTGTTGTGAATCAAGTAGACTTTGTACGGGCTTATGTGTTAGAAGTGGTGAATGGGTCTGATTTAGATGAAATTCTTGGGCCGAGTAAAATACTAGAGGGTTTTATTTGGGATCCAGGCCCAATTATCCATAGTTAAATAGGAATAGGGATTAGACAGAAGAGTTATGCGTATTATGAAGAAATCGTCTGTTCCTCTCATCTTCTTTCTAAAGTCTTAACTTCTCATTCCCATTCTTATCTCTATCTCTAGTTACTTGATATTTCAGTACTTCTCCTTGTAATTCAAGTGTTGTTATTGTAATTTGGCTATCTTATTATATAATGTTTGGATATTTGTGTTGAGAATTCGAGTTTGTTTCAGATTCTACATTACTTGTGTACCCGTTTGAGTTAATTTGCATTCCCTTATAGATTAAACTTTATTTAAGAAGAAACGAATCTGATTTCATTCTTTTGAAACTACTTTCTGCCTTTTCTTATTTGTTCTTTACAAAAATAATAATTTATAGGTGGTATATCAAAGTTTCTTTCTGATTGATTCCAATTTTCATTAAAAAAAAATGAAATAACTCGAGAGGGTAGAGTAGTTATCGCTCTATTGAATCAGAAGAATGACTCTCGCCTTTGGAACATATAAGTTCGATACAAATAACAAAGAATAGAAATTAGAGAGCAGGTGTCTTTCGCTAGTGGAAAATGCGCAGTTCATTTGAGGTATCATTACATATTTTTTATCTCTGATTAGAGTGGTCTCACCCTTCAAGGACTTCTCTGGGTTTTGAAATGGTTCAAAATATATTGCTTCATTTAGCAGAGTTAGTGAAAAGTCTTTTGGCCTGACGTTATGCTGGGTTTTGAATGGTCAACATTTGGTTATTGAAATAGTTTATTCAAAGAAAATATGATTCTTTCTCAAAAATTGACTTTGTTGAGAATTTTATATGATTTTACTAGGGGTATAATGCAATATGACAATTTATGTGACATAAAAGAATGCACTCACTACTTTTTGGGGTGAATGCAGGTTATTGACATCAAAATGAGTTGCACTAATTCTGATGAAAGAAAAAAAAGGTCTAAACACTGCAAAGTGAAAAGAGAAAAAAAGCATAAGAAATTTTTAGAATGGCTCAATGGAGCAAGGCATGACAAGGCGAGCTAAAATGTAGTGGATTAAGGTTAGCCCCTCCGTTTATCATCAATTGTTTTTTGCTTGTTTACTATTTTATATTTTGAACCCCCTTGGTAAAAATCATGTCTCCGCCACTAAAAAGAGTTACTTTGTCACACTCTACCGAGGATCTAACAATGTGATTGTGACATCATTTTTTGAACTTCCTGTCTGCGATCCTGATTTCTCTTCACCAAATACGTCTCGTTCTATGAAAAATCCCGGTTCTTTTGCTTTTGGAAGTAGACTCTCATTAGCCAACATCTGAACCACAGAAAACATGCTTGGTCTATCATCTGGATGTTGTTGCACGCATAATAAACCCACTTGGATTGACCTCAAAACTTGAAAAATATTGCAAGAATCAGCCAGCTGCTCATCAACTAGTTCCAAGGACTTATCTTCTTTGTAAAGCTTCCATGCCTGTTTGAGTTTAGATCTTATGAATCATGACAAATTCCATTACTGTAAAGAAAAGAATGAGTTGTGTGTGTAATAAAGGTTATGCAGTGCTTACATGACCGAGAAGGTTAAGGTTGTGATCTTGATGGACAAATCCTCTATTTCTCTTGCAACTCACAATCTCTAACAACAAGACGCCAAAGCTAAATACATCTGATTTTACCGAGAACATCCCATCTACTGCATATTCTGGGGACATGTAACCACTGTGCCAACAAAATAACACCCTGAGAATTAAAGCAAGATGTCATATGAGAGTACATTGTATAATATTAGAGATTCTTACTATGTCCCAACTACATTGTGTGTTTTTGCTCCCATCTCATTTCCTATAACACTTTTGGCCATGCCAAAGTCTGATATCTTTGGATTCATTTCTATATCTAGCAAAACATTACTTGCTTTAAGGTCTCTGTGAATAATTCGTAGTCGAGAATCTTGATGGAGATATAATAAGCCACGAGCAATTCCATTGATGATGTGGAAACGCTTTGGCCAATCAAGTAATTTTTTCTTTGTTTGATCTACAAAATAAGTTTTCTCGTTAGCAGTTTCTTTCAGGTTATGACTAATAGATCAAAGTATTACTCATTTTATCTTGTGTAATAGGTTAGAAATCCAAACCAAATATGTACGAATCCAGGCTTCTGTTAGGCATGTATTCATAGATCAACATCTTTTCATCCCCTTGGATGCAGCAGCCCAGAAGTCTCACAAGATTTCGATGCTGAAGCTTGGCAATATAGATAACTTCATTTGTGTATTCATCAAGTCCTTGCATGGAAGTCCTTGACAGTCTCTTCACGGCAATTTCTTGCCCCTCTTCCAGCAATCCCTAGAAATGGCAAATGTGTTAGAGTCCCACATCAGTGGGATGAGGAGAATTTGGACTCCTTATATGATCTTGGGCAATCCTCCCCTCATAAGCTAGCATTTGAGTTGAGTTAAGCCTAAGGTTCATTTCATTACATGGTTTTAGAGCTAAGCCCATCCCAATTTATGGTTTACCGATGTTGGGCCCCCATGTTAATTGTTCTCTAGATGTCCAGTGTGAGACGGGATCTTTGAGTCCCACGTTGGTGGGATGAGGAGAATTCGAACTCTTTATATGGTTTGGGCAATGTTTCCCTCATAAGCTAGCTTTTGGGGTTGAGTTATGCAAGGTTCATTTCTTTACAAAATGTATAATAGCAAAACAGAGATTTTACAAAGACGAGAACATTGCAGAATTAAAATCTTCTCCAACACTCTAATCTTGAGCATAAACTAGTTACTTTACAAACAAATTTGCACTATATACCTTGTAAACTGCTCCAAATCCACCTTCTCCAATCTTGTTGTTGAGCGAAAAGTTATTTGTGGCTCTTGTTAATGTTGACAATTGGAACATTTGCAGTGCAAAATCTTCTTTGAGTAGCAGTTTCTTCTTCTTTTTCCGTTTGTGCAACAAAAAAATCAGGCTTAGCAGAATCATTGCCATCAACAATGAGAAACTCATGAGTGTGAGTATCATTGCCTTATTTCTTTTTGAACCTGCCTCAGATTCTGCAATCAATTTCTTAAATCAGCCATGGTAAATCGAGATAGGCCACACTAAGTGTAAGAAACACATCATGGGAAATTTCTTAAACAAGTTATTACCTCGCTCTGAAGAATCCATCTTGATGTAAATGTCTTGTCCTCTTTCAGACAGCTTTCGGATGTCAATCAATTCCCCGAACCAAAACAAGCAACCTTTGTCTCCGTTGCTTATATCTAGACTTGAATAAGCTGTGCAAGAACAGTTCCTGGAGCATACTTGCCTACACCCTTTGAGTGTCATGGTTTTATTATACTGAGAGTACTTTGTATTTGGCAATTTGATTCCAGAATATTTTATAAATACATGTTCCTTTTTGCAATTTAAGGGTGTCCTCCGAACACACCCTTCAGACCAATCTCCCTTTTCCCATTGTTGTGGATATCTAGCTACAAACTTTTCCAAACATCCACAAACTGGTGTATCATCTATGTCACAGCTCCCATAGGCACCACATAGGCTATGTGTATCACAATAATCCGCTGGTAAATTGTAGTAAATATGCCATCTCTTTGTCCAATCCACCCACTTTAAATGTTGTATATAACCATTGCTAGTCAGGACTAGTCTTGTTAAGTCCAAGCTGTTAATGAGTGAAAAGCTATAGTAAACCTCCTCCTCATTGAAAATAAATTGAAAAAAAGCAGCATTCCAGTAGTGGTATGGGTGATCCACTCCATCGTAAACCATTCCATGGTCCTATACGAGCCACTACACTTGTGCCACTTTTGATGAGGGCTTGTGGATATCCAGTAGGATCAATGTGACGTGTGAATTCACCTGCAGCTGGATCATTATCGTTCTTCCATGCTGAAAGGTAAACCTCATGGCCAGTTCTAAAATTCTTGCCAAGCTTCATTTCAGGCAAGTGCGTATCAGTTGGAAAATGGAAGCTCTGCCAGAGGAAATTTTCTGGATTGTCATCATTTGCATCTTTGACAACAAGATTACCAGAATCTAAAAGCACTGCAACTGGATTTTGGACTGATCTTGAGGTGTTCGTGGACCATATCATTTCATTCTTGCCATTGAGAAGAGCAAGTATTCCCCACTTGTTAACCTTCAAAACGACTGAAGATGTATTGGTGAGTGGTTTCTCTCTGTTTGCAACCCATACAACTGTTTGCATATGAGGAAGAATTTGCTTGTACCATATCCCAATGTATCGCTTTGTAGAATCATTGGGGCTGAAAAATCCCAGCTCAAAGGTTCCACCTGATGAAACAACAGTTTCACCATCTGCAATTGACTGATTTGTCGTGATTACATTTGTTGTAGTGGAAATGATCTTGGGTATACAATAGTAGAAAGACAGTAGGAAAATTAGTAGGAAGAAAATAGTTCCCATTTACTATGCCTTGATGCCTAAGTTTAAGTTGTGTGGCCTATATATCACCCACAATAGTTAGATTTTAGACTTCAGGTGTTGTTTCACACTCATGAATTAAATTGTGTTAATTACTACTACTTGACAATTGACATGCCTTTGGGACACGGCATTTACTAGTATTGTTTATTTCTACTAGTCATTATCGATTTGGGATAATTTGTCGAGTAAATATCTTAAAACGTTATTCAACATTCACCATCAATCTCTACAATCAATGTTGCAGTCACTGCAGAAGGGAGATTTCAACTACTCCTACTTTGACATATAAGTTTCTTGGCTGATCTCGTCCAATATTCAACAAAATACGGTATGATTATGGATGGACATTTGGTGGTCTTACCTAGGTTCGATTTTTGACTAGCAATTTTTCAAATTCTATTTTTTTTGAAATTTTAGTAACTATAGTCCAGTTTTCTCTTAATTGCTTTTTTTTTTCTTTAGCTTTCAAAGAGTTCACCTCAAATTTTGTATTGAAATTGATATGTCTATACTATCCGAAGGAAAAACAGAATATTTATATTAAATATAGTGATGCCCCCGACACTCGTATTTCCTTGGGTCCATCTCTCAAAGAAAAGAAGGAAATTGCCGTGCGAGTTGGGAAAAAGTAGCTTAACTTTCATGTGATAGTAAACTACATGAAATGGACTTCCTTCAATTTGTATTTGTAAGTGATATAAATGGAGGACCACACGTCCAACCTCACTCTTAAATTCATATTTGGAAGTCACTAAAATTGGTAGACTCGTTATATACGTTGGAACGTGAATCTTGTGTTGGAAGACAAGATTTTATTATAATTGATATTATTGTAATATAGTATGAATAATCTTAGTTTATGAATTAGAATTTAGAAAGGTTAATGTATTGGTCTCACATGCGTTTAATTAAAATATTGAAATACTAATTGATGCCAAACACTAGAAGTTTAAATTTCAAAAGAAATTCATCAACTTCATTTGTGTAAGTATTGAACTCTTGTACAGTCAGTTTTAAAAGTTTGAATTGTACAAAAACAATCGTAAAATTTACTTACTAAAATTCAGGATTGATGGAGAATTTAATTTTGTTAAAGTTTTTTTTTTTTTTTTTTTGTAAAGCAAGATACTTATATTAACAATTTAATATGCATCATTACATGGGATGGGCAGAGCAGTACGCTCGCTTAGTAACGTAAGGGAGGATTCAGCAGCATTGTAGCTATTACATACATTAGGAGCTAATATTGGCTTTTGTAATCTAACAAAAATGTTCCTTCCTTGTCTGCTTCCAGCGCTTCTGAGACAAACACTGGAGGAACATCCAAGCACAAAATGGAGTTATCTTGGACTGTTTTTGATCCTTCCCTTGCTAGTGCATTTGCCACCCTATTAGTCTCCCTAAACGAGTGGTGGATTGGGGGCTCCCCAGCCTGCGCAGCAGATCCCTGCAATCAAGAAGCATGTTAGTGTAGGAAGGGTGATCATTATTTATGATGCTTATGAGTTCCTTGCAATCTGTGTTGATCTCTAATGGCATTAGACCTCTGATTAATGTCAATTTGAGCCCTTGTATAAGTGTTGTTAATTTTGCTCTAATGTTATTTGCCAGATGGAGATTTCCTATGAAGCCTACTATCCATTCTCCTTTGGTGTCTCTTATGACTCCACCTATTCCACTTTTGCCTGGGTTTCCTTTTGAGGATCCATCAGTATTCAACTTGTAGCCTTGTATAGGAGGAATCCATCTGATCAAAGTTTTGATCGTTTTTTTCCTTTAGGCAAGTGTTTCCCGTAAGGTGTAGAACTCGATAGCTTGGTTAAGAATTTTTTTCGTGCAGATGTCAGTTTTAGTGTTCTGGTGGTAATTTTCATTCCTCTTGAGCCATATGTTCCATAGGAAGAAGGGGAATCCCTCTTTCCAGCCAATGTATTTTGTGTTTAAAAGTACTTGGAGGTTTTTAATGATGTTTAGCCAATCACTCCCTTGGGCATTTCCAATCTGATTTATGGATTGTAGCACTTTGAGACTTTTCCACATTTTTCTTACGGTAGGTATAGCATTCTACAAAAATATGTTCTATTGTCTCCATTTTGTTACATATGTGGCATAGTGGGTCAATCTTTATTCCTATAGAATGTAAATACTTTCGAGTAGGTAATCTTTTATGTTGGCATAGCCAAATGAAGTATTTTATTTTGTTTGGGCAGTAAAGGGGCCATATCCAACTGAAGCTATCAGAAGTAATGGTCTTATCTTGTTCTGCTAGCATTTTATATACGGAGGTCGTTGATAGTGTTCCTCGAGGGCTTGGCCTCCACATAGCCTTATCTTTTCTGTTATGGGATATGTATGTACAATTTATTTGTAGGAGGATATCTTTTGAGAGCTCAAAGGTTATTACGTTTAAGTTCAGAATGTTGTTCTTTAGGATTACTTCTCCCACTCTAATGTTATTTTCTTTTTTCTAAGGGGGCCCTGTATTTGTTCCCTAATTGTTTTCCCATTTGGTAGCCAAACATCGTACCAGAAGGATGTCGACTTCCCATCTCCCAGAACCCATCCCATGCCTTTTCTGCATATATTCCAGCCTGTTAGCATATCTTTTCAGAGTTTGCAATGTGTACTGTTGGCTTTGGTATCCTTATCTAATTTCATATTGTTGGAATACTTCCTTAGTAAAACTGAGGCCCATGGCAAATTTGGTTGTTGAAAAGCTCTCCAAGCTAATTTGGATAGGAGGGCTAAATTTTTTGTTTCTGATCTTTGGACGCCCAATCCCTCTTCATTTTTTTTGGAGGTTACTACTTTCCATTTAACCATATGTAATTTCCTTTTCTCACTAGTGGATCCCCAAATGAAATTACGTTGTATTTGATCAATTTTTTTTGTGATAGTTCTTGGTAATTTTATCATTTGCATGATATGAATGGGAATATTATTTAGACAGGCTTTCGCTAAGGTAGTGCGTCCTGCTAGATTAAGAAATTTTGTCTTCCATCCTGCTAGTTTCGATTGGAGGTTGTCAATAATGAATTGGAAGTCATTGTTTGAGCTTCTTTTGTGCATAATTGGGAAGCCTAAGTATTTTTCAAAATGACTGCCTTTTTTTATGTTCAGCTTCTTGGATATCATGTTGCTTGTATTGTCAGGACAATTTTTGGAGAATATTAGTTTTGATTTGCTCGTGTTTACTACTTGTCCAGAGGATTCGCAGAAGTCTTTCATTATTTTCAGAATACACTTACAGTTGGCTTTATAGCTCTACTCATCAGTACTAGGTCGTTTGCAAAAAATAAGTGTGATATCAAGGGCCCTTTGTGGGATATTTTTATTGGAGTCCAGTTTTTCAGTTGGACCTCCTGATCTATTTTCCTAGATAGGATTTCCATACAGAGGATAAAGAGGTATGGCGATAGTGGATCCCCTTGTCTTATCCCCCTTGATGGTTCAAAGAATTATGTTTTATCTCCATTGACTAGGATCGATATTTTACTTGTCGTAACACACGAAATGATAAGTTTTATAATGTTACGAGGGAAGTGAAAATAGATAAGAGTTTATCTGATTAAGGACCATTCTATTTTGTCAAAAGCTTTCTCGAGGTCTATTTTTAGAATTAGGTTTGACTTCTTCCCTTTCATTTTTCCGAAGTGGGAAATGATTTCTTGGATGATGATGGCATTATCCGAGGCTTGTCGATTTTTTAGGAAACTTGTCTGGCAGGGCCCAATTAGTTTATCCATAAAGGGCCTCAGCCGTTGGGAAATAATTATACGAACGTTTGCTCTAAGTAAAGAAGTTGATAGCCATTTGATGTGTTTTTCTGTATTTTTTTTTTCTTTTTTCCTCCCAAGTAATTTAATACTTACTATAGTTTAACTATAGGGACCAGTGACGACTATTTAAGCATTAAGGTTACAAACTTTGACAACATTTTATTTTGTTAAATGAGCATCAAACAATAATCTCGTTTCCTCGCGATGAGCGGATAGGAGAAAAATAACATGATAAAATAAATAATCTACTTTTTATCACTAATATCTTCTTCTTCTTTTCTATAGGAATAATCAAATTTTTTTTCACAAAATGACTTAATTAAATTATGTGTTAGCTGATAAAAAAATATACAATTCATTGAAAAATCATTATTTTACATCATCACCCAGTCATCATTTTGTCGGTACAATGCCACATGAGTTTTAAACAAAATTACATCGTTATGGCTTATATTCTAAAACATAAATGATTGGCAATATATTAGAATTAAATGAAACAAAAATTCTTTTTGGTGTGGTATATGAAAATTCTCCGATACAAATAAAAAAGTTAAAATTATCACTTAGCTTCTTACCATATCTTAGTTACTCTCAAATTGAAACTCCACTAAAAATCTAAGAGTAAAATAAAATTATTCTCTCAATTTAAAGCTCCGTTACGAATAAGTAGTAAAAACAATTTTTTTGTGCATCCCATGGGCGGCCTTGCTATCATTTGTAGGACGAGACGTTAACCTACGTCCGTACATTTCAACATGCCTCCTTGGGACTTAGCTCTGAAGATGAATTCCCGGTTAGGAGAACAGTTAGAGGTAGGAAGAGCTGCCGACACGAACAACTAAGAATTCTCGCTTCAAGGCTATCGGCCTATTCGCGCCATGAAGAGCCTTTTCCTCTGTGAACATGCCCATAAGACACGATAAAAAAGTAAAAAATAAGGCTTCCAGACGGCTTACTATAAAGAAGCTTCGGCCCCTCGGTATCTTACACGTCTTCTTCGACCCTGCCGAAGCAGCTTTCTTTCTTCAAGTAGTAAAGTCACTCTGATTTGTGTATGACTTGACGCTCTAAAGTCTGTATATTTTTCCCCTAGTTACTTAATCGTATTCGACTTCTATCGCAAATCTAAAGTCCAATTGTTAGAGTGAATAAAGTTATTCAATAGAGAGAATTAAAAAAAAGGGGTCCCTTATATCCAAGTATAACTTCAAAAATTTGTGGTGAATTAGCAACTACTTCTTCGTGCTTAAGCAGAAATCTCGATAGTCCCTTCTATCTTGGGTAGCGGACAGTAAGTAGTGGAAACCAAAACCGGAATTTTCTCTTCCTAGTCTACTTCTCCATTTTTAGAGTTAATAACTTTGATGGTCACTCAACTATTAACTTTTTTCGAGGAAAGTCACTTAACTTTTATTTTCAACTCAAAAGTCACTCAACTATGACTTCTTTGCATAGAAAGTCACTCATCCTATTTTATTATTATTTTCACTAAAATTTGTTGACATGAAATTTTTATTTTTAATCAAAATTTTAAAAACCAAATACATATCCATTTAAACCATTTAATGACCCGTCCCATTTAATCCGACCCGCTAAAAATATGATATTGAACTTTTTATTTTATCATTAGTTCCCCAAAACATTCTCTCTGTCTCAATTTTCTCCTAGCGTTCTTGTTCTCTTTTTTTTTAACTTTTTTTAAACTCTAAAAACAAATACAAGCCCTCAAAGTGGCCTGTTAAATATACAGACAGCTAAAGAAAAAGTTGGAGATATACCGACAAAAGGTTTCATTCCATTAACATATATAAAAAAAAGTTGGAGCTATTAAATATTAAGCTTCTTGACAGCTAAAGAAGCCAAGATTAATTAGGCAAGAAATCAGAATGAAAAACAAAACCAAAAAAAAAAAACGCAAAAAAGAGCAACTCTTATAATCTTGTCTTGCTTTTGAGTTTATCATAGATAAAAGTTTGTTTAGCCTTTGAGGGCTTGTATTCTTATTTTTATTTTAATTCCAAAGGCCAACAGGCACCTTTGAGGGGTTGTATTTATTTTTAGAGTTTAAATTTTTTTTAAAAAAGTAAAAAAAAAAAAAAAAAAAAAAAAAAAGAAGAACGCTAGGAGAAAAAGGAGTCAAGAGAGAATGATTTGGGGAACTAATGATAAAATAAAAAGTTTAATATCATATTTTTAGCGGGTCGGGTTAAATGAGGTGGGTCATTAAATGGTTTAAATGGATATATATTTGATTTTTTAAATTTTAGTTAAAAATAAAAATTTCATGTCAACAAATTTTAGTGAAAAAAAATAATAAAATAGGCTGAGTGATTTTCTATGCAAAGAAGTCATAGTTGAGTGATTTTTGAGTTAAAAATGAAAGTTGAGTGAGTTTCTGTGAAAAGAGTTGATAGTTGAATGACCATCAAAATTATTAACTCCCATTTTTACTCTATAGTTGCAAATTTTGGTATGTTGTTCTTTGCTGCTACTTTCAGATTTTGATATTTGGGGAAAATTGTTGATAGAGTGATTCTGCATTACCTGCGCAATCATTTGAGTTAATTCTGCATTCAACTTTATTTAAGAAGAGCAGTAGAGGTATCATTCACATATTTCTATCTCTGATTAGAGTGGTATTAACCTTTAAGGACTTGTCTGTGTCTTCAATTTTTCAAAATATATTGCTTCGTTTTGGCAGATTTAATGAATATGAAACGACAATTTGGACTCATGTTTGAATGGGCAACATTTGCTTATTGAAATCACTTTCTTCTTCTTTGTTGTTGTTATACAAGTGACATATCTAAAGTATAATATATTCATAGAACAATACAAATAGATGAAAAGATCCAATCCATAAGTAGATAATATCTTCAAGTAGAAAAATTCAACTTGATGTTTATTTTAAGTATTACTTACTACTTTATTTCACAATAGCCATAATATCTTTCCTATTCATGTGCACACAAATTTAAATTGTTATTTTGTCATACCTACCGAGGATCTAATAATGTGATTGTGACTTCATTTTTTGAACTTCTTGTCTGCGATCCTGATTTTCCTTCGTCATATACATTTCGTTCTGTGAAAAATCCTGGTTCTTTTGCTTTTGGCAGTAGACTCTCATTAGCCAACATCTGAACCACAGTAAACATGCTTGGTCTATCATTCGGATGTTGTTGCACGCATAATAATCCCACTTGAATTGACCTTAAAACTTGAGAAATGTTGCAAGAGTAAGCTAGCTGCTCATCAGCTAGTTCCAACGACCTATCCTCTTTGTAAAGCTTCCATGCCTGTTTGAGTTTAGATCTTATGAATCATGAAAAATTCTATTTTTGTAAAGAAAAATATGACTTGTGTGTGTAATACAGGTTAAACAGTGCTTACGTGACCGAGAAGGTTAAGGTTGTGATCTTGATGGGAAAATCCTCTATTTTTCTTGCCACTCACAATCTCTAACACCAATACGCCAAAGCTAAACACATCTGATTTTACCGAGAACATCCCATCTACTGCATATTCAGGGGACATGTAACCACTGTGCCAATAAAACAACACCATGAGAATAAAAGAAGCAAGATGCATTCATATGAGAGTACACTGTATAATATTAGAGATTCGTACTGTGTCCCAACAACTTTGCGTGTTTTTGCACCCATCTCATTTCCTGTAACACTTCGAGCCATGCCAAAGTCTGATATCTTTGGATTCATTTCTATGTCTAGCAAAACATTGCTCGCTTTAAGGTCTCTATGGATAATCCGTAGTCTAGAATCTTGATGGAGATACAATAAGCCACGAGCAATTCCATTGATGATGTGGAAACGCTTTGGCCAATCAAGCAATTTATTCTTTGTTTGGTCTGCAAAATAAGCTTTCTTGTGAGCAGATTTTTTCATGTTATAACTAATAGATCTAATTATTACTCATTTTAGTTTGTGTAATAGGTTTGAAATCCAAACCAAATATGTACGAATCTAGGCTGTTGTTAGGCATGTATTCATAGATCAACATCTTTTCTTCCCCTTGGATGCAGCAACCCAGAAGTTTCACAAGATTTCGATGCTGAAGTTTGGCAATATAGATAACTTCATTTGTGTATTCATCAAGTCCTTGCATGGAAGTCCTTGACCGTCTCTTCACAGCAATTTCTTGTCCTTCTTCCAGCACTCCCTAGAAATGGCAAATGTATAATAGCAAAACATAGATTTTACAAAGACTAAAATATTGCGGAATGAAAATCATCTCTAGTACTCTGATCTTGAGCATAAAGCTATAAACTAGTTACTGTTTCAACAAATTTGCACTGTATACCTTATAAACAGGTCCAAATCCACCCTCTCCAATCTTGTTGTCGAGCGAAAAGTTATTTGTGGCTCTTGTTATTGTCGACAATGGGAACAGTGGCAGCTCAAAATCTTCTCTGAGTTTCAGTTTCTTCTTTTTCCGTTTGTACCACAACAAAATCAGGATTAGCAGAATCGTTAACACCAACAATGAGAAACTCACTGCGAGTATCTTTGCCTTCTTTCTGTTTGAACCTACATCAGATTCTACATTTTTTAAGTCAACCACTGCAAATCAAGACACGCCTCTTACTTTGAATAATACCATCTCCATGTGTTGAAATACTAAGTTAAGAAACAGTTCATGAGAAATTTCTTAAACAAGTTCTTACCTTGTTCTCTAGAATCCATCTTGATGAAAATGTCTTGTCCTGTTTCCGACAGCTTTCTGATGTCAACCAATTCCTCAAACCACAATAAGCAACCTTTGTTTCCATTACTTATATTTAGACTTGAATAAGCTGTGCAGGAGCAGTCCGTGGAGCATACTTGCCTACACCCTTCGAGTGTCATGGTTTTATTGTACTGAGAGTGCTTAGTATCTGGCAACTTGATTTCAGGATATTTTATAAATACATGTTCCCTGTTGCAATCTAAGGGTGTCCTCCGAACACACCCTTTTGTCCAATCTCCCTTTTTCCATTGTTGTGGATATTTAGGTACAAACTTATCCAAACATAGACAAATAGGTTCATTATCTATGTCACACCTTCCATACACACCACACAAGCTATATGTATCACAATTATCCGCAGGTAACCTGTAGTGAATATGCCATCTCTTTGTCTGATCCACCCACACAAAGCGTTGTATATCACCGTTGCTAGTCATGACCATTCTTGATAAAATCGAGCTGTGATTAATGAGAGAAAAGATATAGTAAATCCCCTCCTCATTGAAAGCAAATTCAAATCTATAAAGTCCGCTTTGTTGTAGCAGTGGTATGGGTGCCCCACTCCATTTTAAACCATTCCATGGTCCTACACGATATAATACATTTGTCCCACTTTTGGTGAGAATCTGTGGATATCCTGTAGGATCAATGCTACGAGTGAATTCTCCTGGAGCTGGATCATTATCGTTCTTCCATGATGAAAGGTAAAACTCATGGCCAGTTTTAAAACTTTTGCCAATCTTCATACCAGGCAAGTGTGTATCAGTTGGAAAATTGAAGCTCTGCCAGAGGAAATTTTCTGGGTTGTCTTCATTTGCATCTTTTACAACAAGATTACCAGAATCTAAAAGCACTGCAACTGGATTCTGGACTGATCTTGAGGTGTTAGTAGACCATATAATTTCATTCTTGTCATTGAGAAGTGCAAGTATTCCCGGTTCGGTGACCTTCAAAATGACTGAAGATGTATTGGTAAGTGGTTTCTCTCTGTTTGCAACCCATACTACTGTTTGCATATGAGGAAGAATTTGCTTGTACCATATCCCAATATATCGATTTGAGGAACCGCTGAGGTTGAAGAATCCCAGCTCAAAGGTTCCACTGGATGAAACAATAGTTTCACCATCTATGATGAATTGATTTGTAGTAATTAAGTCGGTTGTTGTCGTAGACAAACTACTGTGTATAGAAGAGCAGAAAGTCAACAGAAAAAGTAGGAAGAAACTAGCTTCCATAGATTATGCTGTGGTTTAATTTCTGGAAAGTGTTTGCATATAAAATTCTGAAATTTGTATTTACTTCATATCCTTTTTGGACACGGCACCATGTTAATTTCTAGTTGAATAGTCGTTAACAATGACGGCTATAGACAGTCATTTGAAGTTTGTAACACCTCTTTGACAAAGTTTACATTTCAATATTTGAGTGTAGGAATTCCGTTACCATATCAGAAAGCTATGGTCAGTCCATCACCACCTCACTTTTCTGGATGATATTATTTGACTAGTCTAGCCTTGGATTTTGGTTCCAAAGTTTGCCATACCACAACTTAAAGCATCTAATGGACGGTAGCGGTGGAGTCAGAATTTTTAGGTTATGAATTGAGTCAACTAAAAAGGTAAGGAGGGAGTAGTAACTCTTTTAACGTGAAATAGGATGAATCAGGAATGTGATAACTGATTGATACTAACCACTATTGTTAGTTGTCACTCTGATATTTGATACTGAGATTAAAAAAAAAAAAACTTTCCATAAAAGAGAATCTTGAGTTATTGCTAAAAATCTTGAGTTCGGAGCTTAAAGGGTAAAAAATTTGACAAACATTTCAAAAGGACACATCAAATTTTTTTCTAACCAAAAGGGGACGTAGCGATTTTGTTTGACACCGTTAACAGATCAAAATCGCTGCCCTATCAGCAATTTTGTACAATTTTTTAATTATTTTTTTCAGAAAATCGCTGCCTGTGCAGCGTTTTTGCGATTTTTTTTTAAAAAAATTAAATCGTTTTTATAAAAATAAATTTATTTTATTTTTTTGGAGGGCAGCGATTTTCGTTAGTTTTTTTTAAAAAAAATAGCTGATGTTGCAGCGTTTTAGAAATCGCTGTTAAAGACAGCGATTTTGATGGAACTATTTTTATTTTAAAAAAAAAAAAAAAGCAGCGATTTTGGTGAAAAAAAAATTTCGTTTGATTTTTCTTTTTTAAAAATTTCTGTCAGCTAATCAACATCTAATTGTAAATTTTTTTTTTAATTATTTTTTAAAATCTTTGGTGGAATTTTTTATTTTTTTTGGTCAACTAGTCGACATGATGTTGACTAGTTGATAGATATTTCAAAAAAAATAAAAAATTCCACCAAAATTGCTGTCAAGGCAGCGATTTTTAAATTATTTTTTTTCTTTTACAATTAGATGTTAACTAGTTGACAGAAATTTCAAAAAAAAAAAAAATTCCACCAAAATCGCTACCATGGCAGTGATTTCTAAAAATTAAAAAAAAAAAAACCACGAAATTTATAATAACGCTGCAACAGCAGCTATTTAAAAAAAAATAAACGAAAATCGCTGCCAAGGCAGCGATTTCCAAAAAAATAAAATAAATTTGATTTTATAAAAATGCTGCACGGGCAGCGATTTTCTGAAAAAAAAAAAGTTGGACAAAATCGTTGATAGGACAGCGATTTTAATCTGTTAACGGCGTCAAATAAAATCGCTACGTCAGTAGCAATTTTGCCCTTTTAATTAGAAAAAAATTTGATGTGCCCTTTTAAAATTTTTGTCAACTTTTTTTTGCCCTTTAGGATCCGAACTCCTAAAAATCTCAACCAATGCAATTAATACACGATTGCAGAATACAAGCTAAGAAGAAAGCATACATTGTTTGTTTTCGTTGAAGATTATCCTTACATGGATCTAATAATATATATGATTAATAAGGATTATGATGGTATTGATGATAAAATTCTTTTATTTTTAATTCGAAATTTCTGATTGAGTCTTAAATATGACAAAAATCATGTTAGAAAGAGCTTTTTCCTTAAATTGATTTTACACGATACAAAACTATAAGATCGAATTAAGCAAAACTCCAATACATAATATTAAAATTAACTTTATTAATGGTATATTAAAACTTTTAATCTAACAACTTTTACTTTGTATATTATCTAAAGGTACTAAGGATAATATGGAGAAATATTAATAAAATTCTCTTGATTTGACGTGCATAAATGGACATTTAATGATCTTACTTGGGTTTGATTTTCCACTTTAGCATGTATCAAATTTTAATTTTTTAAAACATTTTATTAATTATAGTCCAGTTCGTTTGGTTGTTTTTTTCTTCAGTTTTCAGAGAATTCACCTCAAAATTTATAGCAAGTAGTTGACATGTTTATATTATTTATATTAAAAATAATGATGTCCCCAACACTTTTAAATCATTGGGTCCACCTCTCAAAGAATCAAGAGAGGAAATTGCCGTGCAAGTTAAGAAAAACTAGTATTATTAGTGGGGTTGTTGGGCAGGAATAAGTTATTTTATGATTAATTATTTTGGAATAAATTATTTTGAGATAAGTTATCATACTTATGTATATGAAATAATTTATTTATAATTTAAATGATAAAATAAATAATTTAATTATCTAATACCTTCAATCAAATAAAAAATAAAATAATTTCACATTTTATTTCAAAACTATTATATTTTATAGCTCACGTCAACATAATCTACATGAAATGGACAAGTGGACGTCCTTCAATTTGTAAGTGATGTTCCAGTCAAATATTTAACACCTTATTTTCCTTAGATTCGAGGGAAATGGTGGGAAGCTTCTTTTTTAACCATAAATACCAAGAAAATTTCATTGAATCCAAATAGAGCAATATAGAAAGTTACACTAAACACTAAAAAAAAAAAGTATGAAAAGAGCAATAATTACCCACACAAAAAAAAATTGTGTCCTTCGGGATGACTTAATTGGTTTGGAGGGTGGTTATCCACACGGATGACCCGGGATCGATCCCCCCTCAATGCCTTCTGAGTCGAGTCTGTCGCATAGGGTTTGCCTAGTGCGTTTACATCTCCTGTGTGGTTTGCAGGCTATTACACAGTGGGGGTTTACCCAGTGCACACAAAGTGCTCACCACAGAGTGCTCACCCGAAAGGCAGAGGCTGTGGCTACAGTTTGCAGGCTATTACACAGTGGGGGTTTACCCAGTGCACACAAAGTGCTCACCACAGAGTGCTCACCCGAAGGGCAGAGGCTGTGGCAGAGGTTGTAGCGGCTGCGGGTTATCCTGGGTTCCAAAAATAAAAATAAAAATTGCATAGTAAATATGTGAGTATTCCCTATTTTCCCTTTTGATGTTTACAACAAAATTGCTCGTTCTTAGATCCTATTTCTCAAAGTAGATTTTTCAGGCTAATCTTCCGGAATTATCCCTTTCCAGACTCCATCTCCGGCAGTCGCCTCTCCCTTTACAAGAAGCTCTACTTTGGTATGGTTCTTTGCTGTTACTTTGATGATTTTGATATTTGGGGAAAGTTGGTGTTGTAGTCATTCTATATTAATATTACCTGGGCAATCATTTGAGTTAATTTTTTGTATTCACTTATAGAATTGTTCAAAATATATTGCTTCGTTATAGCAGATTTAGTGAATATGAATGGGGAACATTTGGTTAGTGAAATCAGTTTCTTCGTCTTTGTTGTTATATAAGAAACACAAACATACCTAAAGTATGTATTCGAAGAACAACAGAAATAGATAAAAAGATCCAATGCATAAGTATAGATAGATAATATAATCAAGTAGAAAAATTCAACCTGATGTTTATTTTAAGTTCTTACATATCTTTCCTATTCATGTACACACAAGTTTAAATAGTTATTTTGTCACACCTACCGAGGATCTAACATTGTGATTGTGAATTCATTTTTTGAACTTCTTGTCTGCGATCCTGATTTTCCTTCATCGAATATGTTTCGTTCTGTGAAAAATCCCGGTTCTTTTGCTTTTGGCAGTAGACTCTCATTAGCCAACATATGAACCACAGAAGACATGCTTGGTCTATCATCTGGATGTTGTTGCACGCATAATAAACCCACTTGAATTGACCTTAAAACTTGAGAAATATTACAAGAATCAGCTAACTGCTCATCAGCTAGTTCCAAGGACCTATCATCTTTGTAAAGCTTCCATGCCTGTTTGAGTTTAGATCATATGGATCATGACAAATTCTATTTTTGTAAAGAAAAAAATGACTAGTGTGTGTAATACAGGTTAAACAATGCTTACATGACCGAGAAGGTTAAGGTTGTGATCTTGATGCATAAATCCTCTATTTTTCTTGCCACTCACAATCTCTAACACCAATACCCCAAAGCTAAACACATCTGATTTTACCGAAAACATCCCATCTACTGCATACTCAGGGGACATGTAACCGCTGTGCCAATAAAACAACACCATAAGAATTAAAGAAGCAAAGATATCATATGAGAGTACATTGTATGCTATTAGAGATTCTTACTGTGTCCCAACCACATTGCGTGTTTTTGCTCCCATCTCATTTCCTGTAACACTTCTGGCCATGCCAAAGTCTGATATCTTTGGATTCATTTCTGTATCTAGCAAAACATTGCTTGCTTTAAGGTCTCTATGAATAATCCGTAGTCGTGAATCTTGATGGAGATACAATAAGCCACGAGCAATTCCATTGATGATGTTGAAACGCTTTGGCCAATCAAGTAATTTGTTCTTTGTTTGGTCTGCAAAATAAGCTTTCTTGTGAGCATATTTTTTCATGTTATGACTACTAGATCAAATTATTACTCATTTTAGCTTGTTCAATAGGTTAGAAATCCAAACCAAATATGTATGAATCTAGGCTGTTGTTAGGCATGTATTCATAGATCAACATCTTTTCTTCCCCTTGGATGCAGCAACCCAGAAGTCTCACAAGATTTCTATGCTGAAGCTTGGCAATATAGATAACTTCGTTCTTGTATTCGTCAATTCCTTGCATGGAAGTCCTCGACAGTCTCTTCACGGCAATTTCTTGTCCCTCTTCCAGTACTCCCTAGAAATGGCAAATGTATAATAGCAGAACATAGATTTTACAAAGATGAGAATATTGCAGAATAAAATCATTTCTAGCACTCTGATCTTGAGCATAAACTAGTTACCGTTCCAACAAATTTACACTGTATACCTTGTAAACAGGTCCAAATCCACCCTCTCCAATCTTGTTGTTGAGCGAAAAGTTATTTGTGGCTCTTGTTATTGTAGCCAATGGGAACAGTGGCAGCTCAAAATCTTCTCTGTGTTTCAGTTTCTTCTTTTTCCGTTTGTACCACAACAAAATCAGGATTAGCAGAATCGTTGCCATCAACAATGAGAAACTCACTGCGAGTATCGTTGCCTTCTTTCTTTTTGAACCTGCCTCAGATTCTACAATTAATTTTTTAAAGTCAGCCACCGCAAATCAAGACAGGTCACTAACTTTGCATTATACCATCTCTATGTGTTGAAAAAAAAAGGTTAAGAAATACTTCATGGGAAATTTCTTTAACAAGTTCTTACCTTCCTCTAAATAGTCCATCTTGATGAAAATGTCTTGTCCTCTTTCCGACAGCTTTCTGATGTCAACCAATTCCCCAAACCATAATAAGCAACCTTTGTCTCCGTTGCTTATATCTAGACTTGAATAAGCGGTGCAGGAGCAGTCCGTGGAGCATACTTGCCTACACCCTTCGAGTGTCATGGTTTTATTGTACTGAGAGTGCTTAGTATCTGGCAACTTGAATCCAGGATATTTTATAAATACATGTTCCCTGTTGCAATCTAAGGGTGTCCTCCGAACACACCCTGTTGTCCAATCTCCCTTTTCCCATTGTTGTGGATATTTAGGTACAAACTTGTCCAAACATCCACAAATAGGTTGAGTACCTAAGTCACAGCTCCCATGCTCACCACACAACCTATATGTATCACAATTATCCGCAGGTAACTTGTAGTGGCTATGCCATCTCTTTGTCTGCTCCACCCACATGAAGCGTTCTATATCACCATTGCTAGTGATGACTATTCTTGATAAAACCGAGCTGTAATTAGTGAGAGAAAAAATATAGTAAACCTCCTCCTCATTGAAAATAAATTGAAATGTATAAAGTCTGCTTTGTGTTAGTAGTGGTATGGGTGCCCCACTCCATCGTAAACCATTCCATGGTCCTATACGGTTTAATACATCTGTGCCACGTTTGGTGAGAACCTGTGGATATCCAGTAGGATCAATATTACGAGTGAATTCTCCTGGAGCTGGATCATTATCACTCTTCCATGCTGAAAGGTAAACCTCATGGCCAGTTTTAAAATTCTTGCCAAGCTTCATATCGGGCAAGTGCGTATCAGTCGGAAAATTGAAGCTCTGCCAGAGGAAATCTTCTGGATTGTTATCATTTGCATCTTTTACAACAAGATTACCAGAATCTAAAAGCACTGCAACTGGATTCTGGACTGATCTTGAGGTGTTAGTAAACCATATAGTTTCATTCTTGTCGTTGAAAAGAGCAAGTATTCCAGGCTTGGTGACCTTCAGTTGTACTGAAGATGTATTCGTGAGTGGTTTTTCTCTGTTTGCTACCCATACAACTGTTTGGATATGTGGAAGTATTTGCTTGTACCAAATCCCAATATATCGATTTGAGGAATCGCTGGGACTGAAGAATCCCAGCTCAAAGGTTCCACCGGATGAAACAATAGTTTCACCATCTATGATGAATTGATTTGTACTGATTAAATCTGTTGTTGTAGTAGAAATAATATTGTGTATAGAAGAACAGAAAACCAACAAAAAAAGTATGAAGAAATTAGCTTCCATAGATGATGCCATGGTTTTTACTTTCTGGATAGTGGCAAATACATTTCTGAAATTTGTATCTACTTCATATTTTATTCTATTCTATTTGAATAGTAGTTAACAATGGCGGCTTTATACAAGAATTGGAAGTTTGTAAGGTTCTTAATGTCTCTTTGACAAAGTTTACCTCCATTATTTGACTAAAGTAACTCCGTTCCCATATCAGAAGGCTTTGCTCAGTCCATAACCACCTGACTTTTCTTGATGATACTATTTGTCTAGTCTATTATCTTGGATTTTGGTTCCAAAGTTCCGTTTCATCTTACTTGGTCCTTATTGATATAATAATACATCTTTATCAAAATTTAATTAAAGGTGTATATTACTAAATTAACCTTGTTAATGATGCTTCCGAACTTTATATTTAACTACTGCTATTTTATTTTGTTATTTAATACTAAGAGTAGAAAGGATAAAATTATCTTGATTTCATAAATTAGATAAGTAAATTAAAACAATTATTTTTTAGAATGGGGATAAGTAAATTGAAACAACCACCCAGTAATATGAAACGGAGGGTGTGCTATCATAAAAAAAACTTTCCACAAAAGAAAATGTACAGTAATTGCTAAAAATGCACTTGATTTCTCCCTTTTTTTAACATTTAATTAATATTGTCAAAGACTTTGAAACATCTGGAATTAGGAAATATTTTAGTCCAAAGTTAGTTGCAGAAAGTCTTTCTTTGCGGCAACTTGTTAGGACATGAACCAACCATCTTGTGACCAATTAAAAGCCCAAAATAGTTCCTTATTTTTGGGTTGAGACTCCAAGTTATCCTTGAGTTTTTACATGGAGCAGTAATAATCCCTTATGTTTATAATATTGGTGCACTTTTGGTCCTCTCCCAAAACTTTTGCCTATTTTTCAACATTAATTTTTTCCACAATTTATGTATGAAATATTCGGTCGTCTTTTTATATATTTAATATAAATAATAACTCTATGCGAAAGAAGGTGAGAAGAGGAACACCTTGTTTTGTTTGGTAAAAAGATTATTGCGGATAAAGTTGAAAGGTTCATCATGTCGTTTTCACGTGCAATAGTATAATTTTTTCTTTTCATGCAACACCATATATCAAGATTTTCTTAGTTTAGCTACAATAATATTTCTACCGAACAGTACAATGTTCTCTTCTTCTCACCTTCTCTCACATGGAGTTATTATTTCTATTAAATATATAATAAAAAAACAATTGAACATTCCATATATAAAATTAAGGACAAAAGCAATGTTAAAAAATAGGCAAAACTTTGAAGGATGACCAAAAGTGCACCAATATTGCAAATATGAGTGACTATCACTGCTCTATGTGAAAACTAAAGGAGAATTTTAAGTCTTAACCCAAAGATAATGGATTATTTTGAGCCTTTTCAGCGAGAAATGCTATTATGGTGCACATATCATATCAAATTATTAGTGTGTTTGACCAATGATTTTAACTTTTATGCTTAGATAAGAATTCAATGTTTTAAAAGACTGTGTCGAGACCCGGTTCGGGACTCGCTTTGGAGCAGGGCTATAGTAAAACGCTCCGAGATTTATGTGTGGGGCTTAGTTTTATGAAACTTACGCCTTAAGCGTCCGTTTGTACGTCCTAAACATGCTCAATGTCCAACACGAGGGGCTTTAGCAAATCTTACACAAATTATGTGTTAAATTCTTTAGTTAACATTGTTGACCATCATAATTTTTTAATAAATGAATGATACCTAATAGTTTTTTAAACTATATATATATATATATATATATATATATATATATATATCAAATAACAAGTCGTAGTATTGTATATTTACTATTTCGTAATATCGTGAGGGTGATTATTATTTTATATTTCTTTTAAAAGTATCTAGCCAAGTTTTATAGCTTTACTTTTATTGGTCATGTTTTTGTCATATATCTCACAATTATCATATTTTATTATTTCGCTATTTAAAAATAATTTAATAGTTATTCATGATGGAGTGATAATAAGTTTTATTAATTGTTTTTTAAGGGAGGTAAATTGCATAGGATAACAATAATATATTTTTAGGAATAATGATTCTTTTATTAATTAAAAGTTAAGATATTAAAGTTGATTTGCTTCTCATTATAATGTTTATATCATTATTATTTATACTTGTAAATTCATGTTAGAAGTTTTATTTTCTATGAGTTTCCTTAATCATGTTTCCTGTTTGATGTATTTTTATAATTTTGTGCTATTATATTATATTTCTATAATAGAAATTAAAAATTGAAAGATTCATGGGACTTTTGCTCTATGCCTCGGGGATTACACATTGTTATGTGGTAAGTAAAATGTCATGTCTCACGCTCTTACCTTTTAAAACACTGAATAAGATGATATGTTTACGCTACTATATCACTTAAAAAATTACCTAACTTTTCGTGACTAACAAATTAGTCACTTGAAAAACTTAATATGCTATTTGTTTCAACATGTTAAAAAACATAGAAACAATTTTTGTTCGGTTACGAGTGGTTGTTAGTTAGAAAGATAGTTATTCATGTATTAAATTAAAAATTGGAATAGTTAATATTATGTTAGCTAGTTTTTTTTAAAAAAAAATCAACATATCAAATATGGCGTTTGGTTATTATTTTACAATCTCACGTGAATATAATGTGTATTACTTACAAGTTATGCATCAACGTATATGTTATTTTATATATTCTATAATTCTCAACAGATGCAATTAATACACCATTGGAGAAAACAGGCCAAGAAGAAAGCACACACTGTTGTTGCCGTTGAAGAGTATCCTTAGGCGGAACTAATAATATATGTGATCAGCAGAGGTTATGACGGAATGAATAAGATTCTTTCATTTTTATTTAGAAGTCTCAAGTACGAGTCCTAGATAAGACAAAAATCACCACATTAGGGAGAACTTTCCCCGTAAACGTCTAACAGGAAACGAACCACAAGTTCGGATTAATCGGAATTCCAACATATCAAACATCAGGTTTGGAAACTAAAAAAAAAAAAATCTAATAATGTGATGGTGATTTGATTCCTTGAATTTTCTATCCCAGGTTCCTGCATTAGACTTCCGTTACCTCTTTAATATCATCGTCTAGACAGACTTTTGAATTGTCTTAAATTATAATCCATCATTCAATTGTTAATATTATAATGGGTAAATTATAATATTGTGTTTGAGACAGGTAAAGGGCTGCAAGTCAAAATAGCTTTTGTGTTCACACACTACCGAGGACCTAACAATGTGATTGTGACTTCATTTTTCGAATTTCTTATCTGTGATCCTGATTTTGCTGCATCAAGTACCTTTCTTTGACAAGAGGGAGTTGCTCGGATAGTAAGCATCCCTCACTTTCAACCCGAAGGTTATGAGTTCGAGTCAACAAGGGAGCAAAATGGGTGGGAGCTCCTAGGGAGGAAAAAAAAATACCTTTCTTTCTGTGAAAAAACCCGGTTCTTTAGCTTCTTGAAGTGGACTTTCATTAGACAACATCAGAACCACAGAAGACATATTTGGCCTATCTTCTCGGCATTGTTGCACGCATAATAAACCTACTTGGATTGACCTCAAAACTTGAGATACATTGCAAGAATCAGCTAGCTGCAGCTCATGATCAATTAGTTCCAAGGACTTATCTTCTTTGTAAAGCTTCCATGCCTTTTCGAGTATAGACCATGGGGCGTGTCAAATTCTCTGTGTTGTTAAGAAAAGAAGAAGGGTTATATATGTAATACAGACAATATATAGAGTGCTTACATGACCAAGAAGGTTAAGGTTGTGATCTTGATGGACAAATCCTCTGTTTCTCTTGCAACTCACAATCTCTAACAACAAGACACCAAAGCTAAATACATCTGATTTTACAGAGAAAATCCCTTTCACTGCATATTCTAGGGACATGTAGCCACTGTGCAAAAACATGAGCAAGAGAGTTGATTAAATTAAGAAGTGATCAGAGGCAATATGAAAGAGCACTTTATACATATGGTATGGAGGTTCTTCCGACCACACGGCTTGCGTTTACTTCCATCTTCATTACCTGCAACACATCTAGCCAAGCCAAAGTCTGATATCTTTGGATTCATTTCTTGATCTAGCAACACATTGCTTGCTTAAAGGTCTCTATGTATGATTCGTAGACGGGAATCTTGATGGAGATACAATAAACCACGAGCAATTCCGCTTATGATGTGGAAACGCTTTGGCCAATCAAGTAATTTCCTCTTCGTTTGATCTACAAATAAGCTTTCCGATTAATTAGTTTTTTTCTGTGAAGGTGTAAATATGCATGTTATGACTAATAGAACAAAGCTTTGTATATTATTTTGAGCTTATGTAGTAGTGAGAAATCCAAACCAAATATGTATGAATCCAAGCTTTTGTTAGGCATGTATTCATAGATCAACAGTTTTTCTTCCCCTTGAATGCAGCAACCTAGAAGTCTCACAAGATTTCTATGCTGAAGCTTGGAAATATAGATAACTTCGTTCTTGAATTCATCAAGTCCTTGCATGGAAGTCCTTGACAGTCTCTTCACGGCCATTTCTTGTCCCTCTTCCAGGACCCCCTAGAAATGACAAAAGTACATGAAGATTTTACAAAGACAAGATTAATATTGTAGAATGAATCAAGATCATCTCTGATACACTAATCTTGTGCATAAACTGTTTATTACTCCAACAAATTTGCAGTGAATACGGGTCCAAATCCACCCTCTCCAATCTTGTTGTTGACCGAAAAGTTATTTGTGGCTCTTGTTATTGTCGACAATGAGAACAGTGGCAGCTCAAAATCTTCTCTGAATTTCAGTTTCTTCTTTTTCCATTTGTACCACAACAAAATCAGGATTAGCAGAATCATTGCCATCAACAATGAGAAACTCACTGCGAGTATCTCTGCCTTCAATTCTTTCTTTTTGAACCTGCCTCAGATTCTA